TCTGCTTCTTTTCTAGAAAAGAAGTTTCATACTTTAGTTGCTTTTGTATTTGTGTGGGTCTTTATAAGCTTATCACTTAATGTTGACCTCTTGGAACAAGAGAATCTAAAAGATTGTGAGCTTAGCTGATGTGGAAGTATGGAATCTGGTTTTCTGCAATTGTGATGACCTGTGATCTGCACTCAATGGAGCCTTCAAGAATGTAATGTATTTTTATTTTCTAAGAGCAGTAAAGTTGATTAACTCTTGCACAAACTTCAGTCTCCTACAGCCTTCATATGCTATATCTGGTTGTGCATGTGCACCAGTTAGTTGCTTTATATCATTAGCTTTGTCATCAACAACAGTTATGCAGTACACAGTTCTATCCCACATACAAGAGAATTCATCAGACATTTCTCTCTATGCGATTCACAATTTTTCTTTAACCAGTTAGGCTCCAGAGCAATTTTTTAATTTTTTGACACACATGTAAAATCTTCATTTTTGGTAATAAAATTACTTAAACCCCCTGAACATTCTTTATTTTCTGAAAGCAGAGACCCTATAGAAAAAAAAGGCGAGAGTTGCATGTCACGTGATATTTTCGGAACTGTTTATTAAAGGCAATATTTCAGGAAAAAATTTAGTAAAATAAATTTTAGTGCAAACCCACACAATATAATACACATCTTTTTGTAAAATATAAAAGATGAGGTTCTGTTGCGTAAATGGATACCAAACATACCATGTCTTAAAAACAAAAAATTGAATTACAGATACTTACCATAATTTTCCTTTCCTGATGAGCTTCATGTCAGCATAGATGGGTAAGGGCCCTTGCCCCTCCCCCAGCTGTGCTGACATGGAGCTGTCAGGAAAATGAAAAATGGAATGACCGATACCTACCGTAATTTTCCTTTCCTGGCAAGCTCCATGTCATCACAGCTGGGGGGTAGGGCCCTTACCCAGCTGTGCTGACATAAAGTTGTAAGGAAATTATGTGTGCCCGTGATATCACAAAAAACTATGGTACCTAAAAAAATCACCATAGGTGATACATCTGTTTAGAGTTAACTAGGAACTCTTGTGCTAGAAATATTGTTTTCACTCTGAGAGATATGTTACACGTGTGGTGCGACCGCAGTTTACTTACGCATGCACCCTGGGTGTACATTTGCACATGTGTGCGGGACAACAGGGGTTATGGCAATTTAAAAAAAGATTTAATATATTTTATTCTAATTTTATTTTTAACACCTTCCCACCCGGCCTATGGCAGATTGACGGCCGGGCGGGACACTCACCGTTGTGACTGGGCGTCATATAGTAAAGAAATGTAGCAGAATACATTTTGACCTAAATTTATGAAGAAATGTTATTTATTTGCAAAATTTTATAACAGAAACAAAGAAAAGTGTGTTTTTTTTTCAAAAGTTTGTTTTTTGTTTTATTTAGAAAAAAATAAAAAACTCAGTGGTGATCAAATACCACGAGAAGAAAGCTCTATCTGTGTTATAAAAAGTGTTTATGGTTTAAAAATGTGTATGGTATATGTGTGTAGTGTTGCATGACTGCGCAATTGTCATTCAAAGTGCAACACGCTGACAACTGAAAAGTGGCCTGGGCAGGAAGGGGGTATAAGTGCCCGGTATTGTAGTGGTTAAATATTTTTTCTTTTATTTGTTTATTTTTACTTGATTGCTATCACAAGGGGTTAATAAACCCTCATGTGATAACATTGGACAGGTGACATGTACTCTTTATGGAGACATTAGGAGTCTAGTAGACCCCAGTGTCTCCCCTGCCCTTCATAGCATTTAACTGAGCACAGATTGGTTTTTCTAGATGTATCCTCTGGCTTTACCAGGGTGATCTGAAACCGGAAGTGACTAAATCATTATCGCTTTTTGTTTCATTATTTATATGACTTCTCCCTCACTCTCCCTCCCCTAGCCAGTGGTTGTAGTATTGGATTCCCAGTAAGAGAGGAAGAGCTGGGGAACCATGGGGGGAAGGTGGAAGTGATCAGCGGCTATGGAGCTGCGACATCACCTTCACATTCAAGCCAGGAGCTAGTTGAAAGATTCACTCTTTGGATGTAGTATGCAAACATAGAGGTAAACTGGATTGTACCACTTTACAGACGTTACATTACAAGTTTTAGCAGTGGCTGCAAAGATAGAGCTGCTGCTCCCAATTTGACATCCATGCAGGTCCACAGCCCCAAACGCACACTGGTTGCACTATGCACCTACATCCGCAGTGGCACTGATTTCACATTGGGAGCAGCGGTTGTGTCTGTGCAGCCGCTGCATCCTAACTAACAGCTATGGAACTGCCTACATGGATACACAGAACACCTGCACCCCTGTACGTTTAAACATGGCCCCCACATGGGTCACAGAATCATGCACCCCATGTCAATGAGGCCTTACCTTTATCCCAAAAGGAATAAACTGTTGGTATAACTGCTTAAAAAGTAGTTCTGCCTTAACCACTTCATGTCCGGACACTTTCACCCCCTTCCTGTTCAGGCCAATTTTCAGCTTTCAGTGCTATCACACTTTGAATGACAATTGCGCGGTCATGCAACACTGTACCTATATTCATTTTTTTAGCATTTTTTGAGACAGATAAAACAGATAAAACTTTATTTTGGTGGTATTTATTCACCACTGGGATTTTTATTTTTTGCTATATAAATGAAAAAGTCCAAACATTTTCAAATAAAAGTGTTTTTCTTAGAAAATATTGCAAATAAATAATCTTTCTTCAGAAATCTTGGCCAAAATGTATTCAGTATCTTTTTAGTAAAAAAATTAAATAACCCAAATTAGTTTATAACCAAAAATTATAATTTTTCAAAAAATGCTTTACATTTTTATTTTTTTTTTATATTATTATTTATGTTTGTTTTTTTAACATACTGTCACCCTAGCAGTACAGTGTCACCACAGTGACACTACTACTTGTGGGGGGTGATGAAGACTTTTTTTTTTACACGGATTGCTTTTACACCCATAAAGGCTGTAAAATCAATCATTTCTCCTTCTCTCTGGCTGCATTATTGCAGCCATTGAGAAATACTGTGTGAGCTGTGATTGGTCACAGCTTGTCACATGGTACAAGGCTGTTGTGAATAGCCTTATACCATGTGACCTCTGTGATCATTCACAGATTTCACTAGTAGTAAGCAATAATGTCAGAAGTGACATCTTGCTTACTACTATTCATGTGATCACTGATTGACCAATCAGTGATCACATGATCAGGACCTCACACAGAGGTCCCGTACAGCGATTGGTGTTCCGCTGTGTCCGGATCAGGCAGGTACAGGCAGTGAATGCGGAGGCCGTTTATAAATGTCCTCCCGCTCCTGCACTGCTCCTGTCCGGCCTTTATGTACATGGGCCAGACAGGAAGTGGTTAATTCATTAGTCAAGTTCATCTAAATCTGCTGGGGCATCTAACTCTACCTTCTCTCCAGATTGACACTGTTGTCCATAGGTGTCTCCATTGCTCCTCCATCCAGAGTGAAGACACCTAAAGACAGGACGGGCGTTACTAGTTGGACCACCAGGTGGAATGAAGGAAAAAAAAAATGCTAAAAAAAGAAAACGAATGCAGCCACAATATTTATGGATTGGCAAAATGCAATATATTCAATGTTTTTTCGCTTTTTATTTAATACTGCTTTAGGTTTAAATATCCTCAGACCTCATTTCTTCTAGACACAGATGAGTATTCTTAGAAATTTTTAGAAAGTCTTCTAAACACAGATCAGTATTCTTAGAAATGATTGTATATCCTACATGTCCCTAGACCCAGCCACATTAAGAAGGAAATACTGCCCACTGCCCCAGGTCTAGCGAGACATTTGAAATCGCATGTTACACTTAGTGACACGGCTTGCTCTGTTGTATGCTGGCAGCACCAAGTGGGTTGATATCCAGCCTGCAACTGAATGAGTAGTTCCAGGAAGACACCACTAGGCAGAGACTTAGGAAGTGAGATGAAGCTGCATGGGACCACTGCAGTTTCTCTCAGGTAAATAAACACTTCTTTCACTGAGTGCCAGCAAAAGGGGACACAAGCCTCTAAATGCCAATGTAACAAGGGTTACTCAACACCTATGTAACAAGCTGCACACACGTGTGAAAAACTAGTGTAAAAAGGTGCACATACAACTGAAGGAGAATATTAAAAGAAGCACCCACTACTAAACACGAATATTTCAGGGGGCACTTACCACCAACACTTAAGTTGGTTGTAAACCCTTACATATACACAGTGAAGTGACTGGCCTTAGGTGATACACAGACACAAAACAAATTCCTCCGACATAAGTTGCAGCCTGTTTATCTGCAGTCTTCCCTTCTCTGCATCCATTCAAACTGCTGAATTTTAAAGCTTGTCTGAGAGTTCAGAAAAAAGGGGTCAGAGAACCAAAGTAATGCACTGCAGAGTTCAGTGGGGAGAGCTCTGAGAGCTGATTGGAGGGAAGAGACACCCCCCCCCTTTTCAACAGCACACAGGAACAGAGCTAAGGCTGTCAATCAACTGGATGTTCCTCCCCTGTCACCATTTTTCTCTTGGTGTCAGGAAAACTTGTCAGAAGTGACTCATGCTGATAGCAGAGTAATGAAGCAGCAGACAGAAATGACACTTAGTGCTCTTAAATGAGATAAGTACATACTATAGAGGGATATGCTTTGTTCATATTTCATGTCTAAGGTTTACAACCACTTTAAAGTGAACTGGTGCCCAGACTATGCACATTAAAATATTTACATAGTCTGATCAAACAGTATAAGCACTTTAAAATACACCATCATTTACCTCTGTAGCTATAGGCATTGTGCAGAAATTTGTTTTCCTACAACAAAGACATTAACCGCCTCCCGCCCGCCATATAGCACAATGACGGCCGCAAGGCGGTTCTCTCGTTCTGGAAGGACGTCATATGACATCCTCCCATTCTAACCGCGCATGCGCGGCTCCGGGAGTGCACAGCGCTGTGTCCCTCGGACAGAGCGGATCACCGATCAACGGAAAGAGCCGAAGATGTCGGCTCGGTCATGTGATCAGCTGTGTCCAATCACAGCTGTTCGCATGTATATAGGGAAATGCCGGTTATCGGCATTTCTCTCCTCACGAACTGTTACGCTGACAGCTCGAGAGGAGAGGCGAGCCGGTAATCGCATTCCCTGGGAGGGGACATATACACTGATCATCAGGGCACTGATGATCAGTGTGCCCTGATGATCTGTGTAGCCCCAGCAGTGCCACCTGTCAGAGTCCATCAGTGCCAGCTGTCAGTGCTCATCCATGCCACCTGCCAGTGCCCATCATTTCCACATCAATGCCACTTTTAAGTGCCTACCAGTGCACATCAATGCCACATATCAGTGCCCATCTGAGCTGCCTTTCAGTGTCACCCATCAGTGCCAGTCAGTGCCACCTATCAGTGCTGCCAGTCAGTGCCGCCTATCAGTGCCAGTCAGTGCCGCCTATCAGTGTGCATCAGTGCCACCTATCAATGCCTGTCAGTGCTGCCTATCAGTGTCGCCTAGCAGTGCCAGTCAGTGCCACCTATCAGTGTCAGTCAGTGCTGCCTATCATTGCCATATATGAGTGCTGCCTTTCAGTGCCCATCAGTGATGCCTGTCAATGCCCATCAGTGCCACCTACCAGTGCTTCCTCATCAGTGCCCATCAGTGCCACCTATCAGTGTCCATCAGTGGAGCCTATGAGTGCCCATCACTGCAGCCTCATTCGCGCACATCAGTGAAGGAGAAAAATCACTTATTTACAAAATTTTATAACAAAAAACTAAGAAGAAACTTTTTTTTTCTCAAAATTTTCAGTGTTTTTTGGTTTGTTTAAGAAAAAATAAAAACCCAGAGGTGATTAAATACCACCAAAATAAAGCTCTAACTATCACAAAAAAATGATAACAATTTCATACGGGTACAGTGTTGCATGACCACGCAATTGTCATTCAAAATGTAACAGCACTGAAAGCTGGAAATTGGCCTGGGCAGGAAGGGGGTATAAGTGCCCTGTAGGCTAGTGGTTAAACACATTAGGGGTTTTTTTACTAAAACGACATTGTGCACAATCTGGTGCAGCTCTGCATTGAAACCAATCAGCTTCCAGGTTTTATTGTCAAAGCTTTATTGAACAAGCTGAAGTTGGAAGCTGTACCATGCACATCTACACCAGATTCTGAGTGCACCAGTTTTAGTTTTTCCTATTAATGTCTATTACAATGCAAATAAACATGTTTCTTAGCTGTTAGAAACTGACAGAAACCTTACTTCAGAGTCTTTGCTGTGAACTTTTAGGATACCTCCCAACTTTCTGTAATGATAAAGAAGAACACCTTTTATCACACAGCATATAGGCAAAGGCCTTTACTTTCCTTTATATTGGCTTTTCAAAATAACAAATTCAGTAATACAGTTTGGATAAAACATTAGGTTCAGCACAACCATTTTTGGTAGTAAAATACATTTTGCATTTAGATGTACACATCAAACTAAAAAAGGGACAGCTAAGGCTGAATAAGTGACATAGAGATTTGGTCTCAAAGGAGGGTCAATCCCTCCAAATAAGGGACAATTGAGGCTATGTAATAATTTAGTGCCCATAGTCTGGGCACAGATGCACTCACCATTAACCGCAAAAAATGTAAGGGGCTACTCACCAATGACCACCGACATTTAAGTGACCCTCACAATTGACCTACACTGTAAGGGGGTGCGCTTACCCTTGACAGCTGGAATCTGGAAGCTGTGCATTATTCCTGACTGTTGCACTCTATATGCTATTTTGTACATTGGCCTGTTTGCCTTATTCTACACATTATTCATGCATAATCCTAATTATGCCCTATCACCTAATTTATAACCAAGTACTAGATTAACACCTAAAGGCATGTACTTCTTTTATGATCACCCAAGCCATCCACATTTCTGCTCAAATATTCAACTGTTCAATACCAAAAACAACTGATTCAAATAAGGTTTTTTCCAACATTACCAGTTTACCAGTTCTGAGCAAGTTTAAGCATCCAAAAATAGTTTTCTTTCAGTATAAATATATGTGCAGATGTTATTTTTGGATAGATGCTCATTTAGCCAGTGTCATACTCCTAGAATAAGTATGATTTAAACAAATGATTTAGTAAAAATCACACTTCAGTTTAGGCCCATAAGGTGTGGTTGAAAGGACAACATTTAAAGTAGGATTATTGCATGTCTCTGGAAGATGATCTCATCAAAATTCACATTTAAGAGCCTCAATTGCTTAATAGACTAAACTGGAAAAATGACTAGAATATTTGCAATGTTATTTGCATATATGTTATCTGAACTTCATCAAACCCATTACAGTAAATAAGTACAGTTATATCTATCAAACAAATGCCATATCATTACTGAAAAAAAAGTATATTCAAATTCAAACTTTTTGTAATTTGTGTTTAATACCAAAGGGATGTTTTTATTATTTTTTTGCTGAATTTGACCCATTGGAAACATTTTCCTTCGCTTCCTGTCCCAGGACCATAACAGGACAAAGTCAAGTTAAAAACCCCTGTAGCCCTCCCGCAGCAGGAGCCGCTTGGTAGATTGCTTTCTATGTTATTCTGCCTTGACTTTGAGAACAACCTCAATCCCACTGAGACACCAGATTAAAAATTGGATGTTGTACTGCTACTGGTAGCAACGTACTCAACGTAGGTTCAATATCAAAAAGCAAACATAGGACTGGCTAGCGATAAATGAACCTAAAATATTGCCACAAGTTGCAGTAAATAGCAGAATGCACATAAATTAGTAGGCAAAAAATTAGATCAATCACAGTTCACTAGACAATATATTCACTAGGCTATAGCAGCATAGAATGGAGTTCTATGCAGCTGAATTACAGTAAACCTGGTAATCTACAAAATCAGTTCTAGTTCTTCAGCTGGTTAGTATTGGAGCCCAGTCTTTACGGTGGTGCACATGTGTAAAGTCCCGGCAAAGTCTGCATGCAGTAAGTAATGCTGCTAGTTAGATGGCCAGTCCCTATGTGCTCAGTCTCTGCTAACAACAACAGGTTAATGGTAGCAGTGTCCACTCACCCTTCCCAGAGATACTGTTTGATTCCTTGATTCACCCATCAACACAGTCAATGTTGATGGGTGAATCCCTCCTGTAAGTGCTACTGTGTTCTGCCAATGAGGAACCTTCCCTGCTATAGAGATGAGCGAATTATTCAAAAATTCGATTCGGCTGATTCGCCGAATTTCAGGAAGAAATTCGATTCGATGCGAATTAATTCGCTACGAAGTTGTATATATATAAAAGGGTTTCTAGGCTTCAGAGAGCCTTTAAATTAGTGCAGAACACTGTACCTTTAATTTAAATGCCCTTGGAGATGAGGAAGGAGAAGGAGAAGGGGAGAAGGATGAGAAGAAGGAGAAGGAGAAGGAATGAGAAAAGGAGAAGGAGAAGGATGAGAAGAAGGAGAAGGAGAAGGATGAGAAGAAGGAGAAGGATGAGAGAAGAAGGAGAAGGAGAAGGAGAAGGTAGAGAAGAAGGAGAAGGAAGAAGGATGAGAAGATGGAGAAGGAGAAGCGGATGAGAAGAAGGAGAAGGATGAGAAGAAGGAGAAGGATGAAGAAGAAGGAGAAGGATGAGAAGAAGGAGAAGGATGAGAGAAGAGAAGGAGAAGGATGAGAAGAAGATGAGAGAAGGAGAGAAGAATGAGAAGAAGAGAAGGATGAGAAGAAGGATGAGAAGAAAGGAGAAGGATGAGAAGAAGTAAAAGGAGAAGGATGAGAATGTTGTTGAAGGAGAAGGATGAGAAAAGGGAAGGATAGAGAAGAAGAAGAAGGATGAGAAGAAGGAGAAAGGATGAGAAGGAAGGAAGATGAAGAGAAGAGAATGGAGAAGAAGGAGAAGGAGAAGGATGAGAAGAAGAAGGAGAAGGATGAGAAGAAGGAGAAGGAAGAGAAGAAGGAGAAGGAGAAGGATGAGAAGAAGAGAGAAGGAGAAGGATGAGAAAGAAGGAGAAGAGGATGAGAAGAAGGAGAGATGAGAAGGAAGAAGGATGAGAAGAAGGAGAAGGATGAGAAGAAAGAAGGATGAGAAGAAGGAGAAGGATGAGAAGAAGGAGAAGATGAGAAGAAGGATGAGAAGAAGGAGAAGGATGAGAAGAGATACACTTTTTAGCCGGCTTGGAATTATTCTTATTTTCATCTGCAGATACACTTTTGTGCCGGCTTGGAATTAATTCTTATTTTAAGAAGAAGAAGAAGTAGGATGAAAATAAGAATAATTCCAAGCCGGCAAAAAGTGTATCTGCAGAGCTCCTCTAAGTGTATCTGCAGACGCTCACTCTAGAGGAGCTCTCTGCAGACATACACTTTTTTGCCGGCTTGGAATTATTCTTATTTTCATCCTACTTCTTCTTCTTCTTCTTCATCCTCATCCTCATCTCTTCTTCAGAAGAAGATGAGGATGAGATGAGGATGAGGATGAAGAAGAAGAAGAAGTATGATGAAAATAAGATTAATTCCAAGCCGGCAAAAAGTGTATCTGCAGAGCTCCTCTAAGTGTATCTGCAGAGCTCCTCTAAACTCTTGCAGAGGAGCTCTGCAGATACACTTTTTGCCGGCTTGGAATTATTCTTATTTTCATCCTACTTCTTCTTCTTCTTCTTCTTCATCCTCATCCTCATCCTCTTCTTCTGAGGATGAGGATAGAGAAGAAGAAGAAGAAGAAGTAGGATATGAAAAATAAGAATTCCAAACCGGCAAAAAGTGTATGTGCAGAGTTCCTCTATTTCTGACAGTTCTCTGACAGCTTCTTCACATGTACAGCGGTTGAAACATCTGTATCCTAAATGGAAACTAATAGATACAATGTTTCAACCGCTGTACATGTGAAGGAACTGTCAGAGAAATGTCAGAAATAGCGGAGCTCTCTGCAGGGACACTTTTGCCGGCTGATCGGGAAAAATCCGATTCGCGCATTGACCGAAGTAGGCAAATATTCGGATTCGTAGAGAGTTTTGATCCATCTATGACCAGCCTAACTTTTTTATTAACTTACATAGGTCATTCAAACTTCACATGTTGGTAGAAAAACTCAGGTATGCACTGTTGTAGCCAATTCTTCACAGCCACTTTCACCTCTTTTGTGCCATTAAATTGTTGTCTCTTGACACTTGCCCCCTTTGCACCTCCCATGAACTTCCCTGTTCAAGCCATGCCTTTGCACGTCCTCTTTGCCAGACTTTTGTGCCCTCTCCAGCCAATATCTCACTCTTGTCACTTCTGTTGCCAACCAACTTTTGGCTTGTTCCTTGACTACGCTTCTGCTTGATCCCAACCTGCAACCACTTGTTACCAAGCTTCATCTTGTTCCTCTCGACTATACCTTTGCTTAATCCCAATCTCTGCAACCACTTGTTACCGACTTTTGTCTTGTTTACTGACTATGCTTCTATTT